TCAGTCTAGGAGCGGAGGTCCCTAGGACCATCAAGGGAGAAGAGCAGAGAGCGGGACCCTACCCAGAGAAGCAGTGATGCCTGAAATGGAGGCAGAGATGATGACATGGAGAGTTGGAGCAGCTGGAGACTTGAGATCCAGAGAGGGAGAACGTGTGCTGAAGACCTGGTGGGTACAGGGGAAGGATTGCATGGAGGGGATTGTAACCATGGCAATGAGACGATATATGATAAAATGAATGTAAAACTAATCTTCTCCCATGTAAACTATCACATAATTCACAATAAAACATTTAAGAAAAAAATAAAATAAAATATGCTTAACGAGGAGAGAGAGAGAAATGAAGAGAATGTGACAAGCGAAAATTACAGGACCAAGGCATCTCTAAGAACCTGGTTCTGGCATCTTCTTGGTTCTGGCAGTGCTCCACACCCAGATAAATCCCTCAATGCCCAGAAAATCTAGTAAGAGCAAAAGCAATGTGTCAGATAGACAAACAGGTTACATCTGTATGGTGTCAAGATACCTTATAGAATGACTACATCAAGAGAAAAGTGAAAAAAGTGAATACAAAATTCGCAGAAGAAAATATACAAACTATAACACAAATTAGCAATTTTTATACGAGACAATATTAAAGATTTTTAAACAATATTAAATGCAAAATTGTTGAATCAGTCAAACCATGGATTAAATCTTTTGTCTAATATATGTGGATACACAATGGTAATATTCTTAATCCTAATATCTTCACCTAATACTAGAGATAGCACTATACATCCTCCTAATGGAATAGAAAACATAATCTATATACTTAAAATATTTAGCATAGATCCTTTCTGCTATCAATGAATAGCTAGCTTTGGCCTCTATTGCTCAAATGCCACCATTTTTGAACACCTCTCAGTCCCAGATTTCATAGATCTGTTTCTTATCCTTACCATCTCTCCCAACAATACCAGGTTGCAACTCTATTCACATTGACCCAAACAGATTTTAGCATAATGAATTATAAATATGATCTATAAACTTGTTTATTTAAAACCCCTCATTGACTTTCCACTAGAAATCAAGTCACAATTCCTGGCTTCACACACAGGACTTGATTCCCCATGACCAAACTGCTAGCATCATCTTCTAAATTTGTCTTGCAATTTCACCAACTGCCATAATTGCAATACTCAGAAAATTTATACACCACCTTTGTTCTGCCTTGGGTCTTTCACCCATTGGTTCACTGTGAATTTTTCACCCTCTTCCCATGGGGAAAACTCTATCTCCTATTCCATGACTTTATGAAGTCTTTTCTTTTGAGAAACATATTCTACCATTTTCAGAATATGTACTTACTTGCATACACTTACTTCGAATAGTAAAGATTACAATTGTGTATTGCTTTAATTTAATGTCATGTCTTTTTTGTTGTTGTTGCATGGGACACAGTAAGTACTTGAAGAATGTAGCAAGGTTTTACATACTTTGGATTCTTCCCAGACCTTGTTTCTTCAGTGACTGGGATATAATAGTATCTAAATAATAACATATTGTGCA